TTTTAGTGCAGGAGTGAATCTGAAGTTGAGAAATATTACCATGGTTAAGAAACCCCGAGAAAAACCCAAGTCACATTATTAGAAATATTAAACATCAATCTAAGAGATTTGGGGGTTTCTATCGCTATACTAATCTAAAGTCTGAAGATAGTGTAATTTATCTTCATGCTGTATAACAGTCCAGTGAACATAAATTTAAAATTACATGCACAGTTCCATGCACACCTTATTCTAAGAAAAGGATATTAAACCCTTCAGACTGATGGACAAGAAGAGCTCTGCAGAGGCCTTTACCCAGCTCTGACAGAGAATGATTACAGAACTAGAAAAAAGTTGCCTCAGAGTATAATCAGAAGTATATTACAGAGGAATTACGATATCCAATAGGAAAATGTCAGAATGATTCTGTCTTCAGAAAAAAATATTATCAGGCTGTACCTGGGAGTAAGCCACACTGAACGCAATGGGACTTCTGAGTAGATTAGAACACTATGTCAAAGATGCATAAAATACTGAGAATTAAAATAATACCGTATAACCAAACAGTAGTAGTAGTATATTACTTTCACAGACTGATAAAATTCAGCACAGAATAAAGGCTATGCTACAACAGTTAAAATATTGCAGCAGATAAAACAAGTACAAATTGTTCTATGTTCTTTTCCTCTCTAGAAGCCAGCAAAAAGAATAAATCTTCTGACCTGCACTGATATTAAGAAAACGAACACCTGGCAATCCCCTCAGTGACATAGGAGGGACATCCCTTATGTACAACACTAGTAAGTTTGCAGGAGATGTTCCAGGAAAATCCATTAGTAGAGGGAGAATTAACCTCCCTCTAAACTTACTATAGTGCAGAAGGACATGTTGAATAGATTTTATTGCTTCTGCTCCAGACACAGCCGTTTATTAACCAGGATCTTATTAAATCAGTCATTTAACAATGCTGAAGGCAGCACATTAAAGCGAGCAAGAGAAAATGCCCTCTTATACTTTGAAATGGTTAATGTCTATAGATACCACAACTGTGGTGATTCCACAGTTTATAGGGATATTAAATAGTAATGGAGAACAAGATTTATTGGCTTTACTTCCTAGATAGCAGAAATCCAAATTTACTAACCTCTGGACCACAATAAGCTGGGCCTTCTTTAACCCACAATCGTTCAAAACCTCGAGAATAAAGCCTAGACTAGAAAATCCTCCCCATCTCTCTCAACCAATGACTAACTAAAGAGTCTGAGATCAACAGGGGAGAGAGAACTACCATGAGATGCTAAGAAATGTAAATATAGCTACCATTGGATAAATAACCGCCTTTCCCACACAAGGTGGTAACTCCAGTCACTTCCTAAGGAAAACAGACTGAACCCTTTCTATTTGGGAATTAAAGCTTAAGATACAAATGAGGTTTAATGGAAGCTTCTAAGAGAAAATCAAACTGTTAAGAGTGAGGAGGTGATGACTCAGGAATCTAGGTTTCCTGAGGAACCACTGAGGAGCTTCCCAATTCAGGAGACTTCTGTGGGGCACCAATATTTGCAAAATGTGAAACTACCAAAAATGATGGCTAAAACGGTGTCAGTTGGCTTCATTAAAACACACTAGTATTACGTGTCTTTATGGAACACAGATAACGTCTAAATTAGCTGAGGGACTACCTATGTGTGTTTTTTTTACCTCATACAAATTCAAGAGAGCATGTACAGAATCCCAAGCGCAAATTAGCCCTGAATCATTTCCCTAAAGGAATCAGCACAGCATGCCTTAATGTTTCTTTAGGAGCTATTACAGGCAAATGTGTCAGTGACTCACAAATTATGGGTCAAGCAAAGTTTTCTGAACCATTTGTTTTAGTGCAGGCTGTGCAACATGCTTGGGCCTCTAAGCCCTTTTTATTTTATTGTTTTATTAAGTATCCTTAAAGAACCTTCACAAGTTAAAAAAAAAAAAAGACATCTGAAGAGTCAGCGTGCCAGAGCATCTTTGTGTCAGGAAAGCACAATTTCTGTAAGCCACAGTGAATAAACTGAAAACATGGAAAGTACTCGGTTGCGCTAGTAAATGTAAACTGAATAAAGCGACAAAATAAAATTAAAGTCTTGACATTTTTAGCATAAAAAGGAAATAGAGCAGGAATACATGTCCCACTAAAATGAATTAAACTATGTCTGCTTCAGTGTCACAGGGGTTCTAGCAACACAATCAATTTAGCTGAAAATAAGTGAATTCCAGCTGAGGGTGGAATTACAGGTGTTTATTTACTGCATGTAGAATTTTGTTTGGTTGCTTTTCAGTCAGCTGTAAACACTTGCTTATTGTTCTGGTTTTTAGACTTCTATAGTGTTTGATAACTGCATCAAGTTGTATTTATATGTATGTATGTATGTATGTATGTGGATGTGGGTGGCGCTGTGGTCTAAACCACTGAGCCTCTTGGGGTTGCCAATCAGAAGGTCGGCAGTTCGAATCCCCGCGACGGGGTGAGCTTCCGTTGCTCGATCCCAGCTTCTGCCAACCTAGCAGTTCGAAAGCACGCCAGTGCAAGTAGATAAATAGGTACCACTCCAGCGGGAAGGTAAATAGTGTTTCCGTGCGCTGCTCTGGTTTCAGTGTTCCGTTGTGCCAGAAGCGGCTTAGTCATGCTGGCCACATGACCCGGAAAAACTGTCTGCGGACAAACGCCGGCTCCCTCGGCCTGTAAAGCGAGAGGAATGCCACAACCCCAGAGTCGTCTGCGACTGGACTTAACTGACTTAACTATTATGTATGTAATATCTGTATACACAAGTATAGCTATGTAAGCATCAGTTCCGCTTTCTTGGGGCTTTCTGTTTACCTCTTCATAGATTTTGGTCCCATAGGTTTGTGGATTCTGATTTTCAATTGCTTAAAAGAAAAAGAAAAATGGAATTTTCTAAACTTCAAATTTATTGCAAGAGGCAAATCAGAAGTTGAGGTAAGCTGAAAGCGAGTTGGCAACTCCCGGCAAGATCAGGAGCTCTAGCCTCAACCTACCGTATTTTTCGCTCTATAACACGCTCCCAACCATAACACGCACATAGTTTTTAGAGGAGGAAAACAAGAAAAAAAATATTCTAAACAAAACAGTGGATGTATGATTTTTGTGGTTCATGCTGTGGCCACAGACATGTGATCTAACGATGAGTTTGGGGTAGCAAAAATCCTGAGGATCCATGTGGATCCGTGCTTTGTAACCACGTGAATGAAGGAACTGTCAGTAATGTATGGTATCTCCAATACAGTGATGAAGGATGAGGGGGGGAGCTCGCACTTGTCCTAGGCAAAGCAGCCAACTCCTATGGGCCTAGGTGCCTTCACCCCCCCATTAAATATTTGAGGGAGTCATCCCCCATCCCCCATTGTGGTATGTGAGTGGGGCTTACCTGGCTGTCTCCCCAATATTTTTTGAAGCTGGAAGAGGGAGGGAGGGGAGGGAGGGAGGGAAGGAAGGAAGAGAGAGGGGGAACTCAAATTTGTGCAGCTGCCTTGCCTCGAACTGAAGCAAAAAGAGGAGGAGATGCAGGGACACGAGCCTTGTAAGCTGCTTTGTTTAAATTTACCGGTGAGGTGCTGGGGGAGGGACGGAAGGGGATGCCCTCTTTGTCCCTCCTTCCAGCTCATTGTAAAGAAAGCAGAGTAAGAGCCACTTACATGTGTGTAAGGGAGAGCCATAGAGCAGGCAGACACTGAGAAAAAGAGGCTGTCTCCCTTCTCCCACCTTGGCTTTTACAGCTGCAGGCAGCTCTTGCCGGCTTCCAAGCTGCCTCCCTTCTCCCACCTCGCTAAAAAGCCATAGAGCAGGCAGACAGGAGGGAGAGAGGCTGTCTCCCGACACTCAGCTGTTGCTCAGCTGTTGCCGGCTTCTCAGGGAGCCAAGTGGAGGAAAAGAGGCTGCCGAACAGCCAGCAAGAGCGGCTCCTCCTGCCTGCATTCGCTCCATAACACGCACACACATTTCCCTTTACTTTTTAAGGGGGGAAAACTGCGTGTTATGGTGCGAAAAGTACGGTATTTTTCTTCTTGAGAGAAGTAATTGCGTATGGATGGTCTTCCTAATTTCAACCAGGTTAACAGTATTAGAAACAGTCAATCTGCCATACAGAGAAATAATTTCAACATCAATTATGGAAGCAACTATTCATTCATTTAGAAAATAGATCTGGAAACTTATGTTAGACTGTAGCAAATAGAAGAGCTGTACTGCAATACCATACCATATGTTCTTATTTTTGAGGCTATTTGGACAAGTTTTGTTCAGAATAAATTTAATTATCCATGTGGATTTTACACTATTAAAAATCCATGTGGATTTTTGCCTTCATGAGGAAACAAGCATAAGCCTGAGATCTATCTTTTAAAGTTTTTCTCCCTTATTTGGCACTTGAAAGCAAACCGATCAATGCATAGTGGAGCTATGTGCTAGAAAATATCCAGAGGTTAATTTAATTATTCCTGAAATCTTAAAGATCTTTTCATCTGGGGTGCTTAGCCTTAACGCTGTTTCAAGTAATGTAATGCTAAATGAAATATTCCCTAAATCACAGCTGGCTAACTCTTTTTTTTGGGCTTTAGGGCGTATATCAGCAGTTGTTGTTGCCGAAACTGGGTGTGACTACACCACACACATTCGTGCACTCTAACAGGCATGCAAAACACACACACACACACACACACAGGCAGGCTGACACACACACAGGTCCACAACTCCTGTCCTTGGCTGACCCACGATATCTCCATCTCCATCAGGTCACTGGGCTCTGCCTATTTCCAGCACTGTATCTACTGTTATTCTATTTTCTGTTGCACCCTCTGTCCTAAATGTACAGAAATGATAGTAGCACCAATATTAAACAATGACACTGGATCAGAACGATTTCCCCAGTTACTCTTGTCTTTATTCACTGCACAGTTTGGTTCTTGGTTGAGTGCATTAGCACGACCATTAATTGTTTGCCACTGTAAGTCACTTTCAGTACCTGATCTTGAGATTTCTTTTTCTTCTTCTTCTTGCCCCAGCATCCCGAACTTTCTGCGTCTTTTCCATTGGCATCGCCACAAAGCAAGCCATCTAGTTCATCGGTCCCCATTTGCTGTCCCTGAGATGTTTCTGCAGCGAGTCTGTATGAGAGGTTCCTTAAAATGCACACACAGTTTTCAACGGTCTAAAAAGGAAGATAAAAATGAATGGAAAATTATTTTAGGATTCTCACATGCAACAGAAAGGTTTTCAGTCTTGAACATTCTTTTTGGTATAAAATTGTCCCCACTGGGTACTCCCCAGACAAGCAAACTGCCCTTTGTAAAACTATGAAAAACCTGAAAGGCAAGTTCTTAAAATGGCCAATTTCAATATCTGCAGTTGGGGCAGCTGAACATCAGAGGTCAGGTGCTAGCCTGCTTTTGACAGTTTTCATGTTCGTACATAGGTGCTTCCAAACTGAAAACCACCTTAGTTAAGCATGTAAGAAGTTGCAAAGCCTTTTTTTGATTGAGGGAATGGAGTTTGAGTCAATAGTTAACAGTATCAAACAAATTTCAGAGAAAATCCACTGTGAAAGGGGTAGAATTAAAGTTAAAATGTGATAAATCGGATCTATGTATGTAAAATGGATTTTTCCCATTTACAAAACAGAGGGGAAAGGCTATTTATGTTATAGTCTTATGTGTATATCTTGTATGAACCCTACATGGATTGATAATGGGGGATGGGACCAAGAAATAAAGTGTATTTTAGAGAGCCATCCATTCTTTAAGCTGCTTATTTGAACTGTCTAAGCTACCAGACTTAGTGAAATTATTACATATGTCAATTTGGTCCATCTCAGAGTGATGGAAATATCATATAGTGCAATGAAGAATCTCAGCTTTTGCTCTTTTGCATGGAAATAATGCTGAAATTTAGGACACCAAAGTGTTGGGTTTTTGTTTTTGCTTTTAAATAGAGTTGCTTTCATTTGATAACGAATTCTGTTTGAATTTGAAATGGTTCAGCCTTCTTAACATTTTGGCATTAGAATTGTAGCCAGCGGGTGGAGAGTTGTAACAGTGAATGGGTCTGCTGCTCGTGTGGTTTCAACCCTTGCTTCCTTCACTGTAAGTGAAATAAAATAATTCTTCATGAGACCCATGGTTCCCTGAATAGGGGATTTCTCTGACCATCTATCATGAAACCCAACGGAGACCCTTCCCCCCTTCTGTCCTGTATCCTATCCCTTCCAATTGTCTAGCTGTCATTTCCCCTCATCTCCAGCACATTATCAATCTACAGTGGTACCTCGGGATGCAAACGGGATCCGTTCCGGAGCCCTGTTCGCATCCCGAACAGAACGTAAGACGCGATAGCGCGTCTGCGTGTGCGCGGGTCGCTGCTTCCGCTCCGTGCATGCACGTGACATCATTTTGACCGTATGCACATGCGCGAGCGGCAAAACCCAGAAGTAACGTGCTCCGTTACTTCCGGGTCGCCATGGAGTGCAACCCAAAAGTGCTCAACATATTTATCCCGAGGTTATGACTGTATCTTGTTCCTCTGGTTCTTTCCTTACTACAGTGGTACCTCGGGTTACATACACTTCAGGTTACATACGCTTCAGGTTACACATTCCACTAAGCCAGAAATAGTGCTTCAGGTTAAGAACTTTGCTTCAGGATAAGAACAGAAATCGGGCTCCGGCGGCACGGTGGCAGCAGGAGGCCCCATTAGCTAAAGTGGTGCTTCAGGTTAAGAACAGTTTCAGGTTCAGAACGGACCTCCGGAACGAATTAAGTACGTAACCCGAGGTACCACTGTATATACAACCTGAGCCTATGAAGGAGGGGTTCACATCAAACTCAACCTTTGTCCTTCTAACTATCTAAAACATGGGGGAGAGGCCCCATCCATTTGCCATCTGGCACGGACCTCCGGAACGAATTAAGTACTTAACCTGAGGTACCACTGTACATTCAAACCTGCCATCGCCTTACCTATTTTGAAAAAATAAATAGAGCTCTTGATGGCTTCTTGCTTCGACTTGCCTCGACTTTCTCTCATCTAACTCTCTTCTTTTGGTCCTCTCTAATCTGACTTTCCATACCACCTCTATGCTGATGATACTTAGTTCATCGTAGTTTATGATGCCATGGGAGACCACAGTAGATGCATACTCCTCCTCCGTCACTCCACACTTCCTGCTGCACTCGGTTTTATGTGTGGAGATCTTGGCTGCAACCAGGAAATTCTGGTTTAATGTTGGTTAATAAGCTAGAGCTGTGTGCTGAAGCTGGTGCTTGATGGAAGGGAGGGAGGACTGAGGGAGGCATGGTCTGTAGGGCTCATACAGGGCTTCATAAGTCATGAAGTTGTTTGAGAAAGGTCCACATGTGTCCAGTGTGTGTACATTGGTTCTTAGATGTCTGCGATAATATTAGCTTTAGAGGAGGAAGTAGATGGCACTATCAATGCACATGCTGCTTCACAGGAATAATAAGTTAGTTCGCAACAGTAGTACCGCATTTCAGTATGTCAGCTGCAGCCCCATTTTCTGAGCTGTTATGTTTTAAAAAAACACAGAAACAAAACTTAAACTGTATTTTGAAGCAATAGACACCGATTATTAGGCCCTGATATTACCGTATTGGCCTGAATATAAGCCTCACTTTTTAAAAGGGCGGCTTAAATTCACGACCTTACAAAAACTGGCTTTTACGATATCTCTGCTGAAACAGACACACGGTAAAACAGAATGGGTGTGAGTGCCTGCGGAATTTTAAGGGAGTGGCTTATATTCGGGTATTTTCTCTCCTCCCCATGTATGTCTTATATCTGGGTGCGGCATATACCGTATTTTTCGCTCCATAAGACGCACCAGACCACAAGACGAACCTAGTTTTTGGAGGAGGAAAACAACAAGAAAATATTCTGAATCTCAGAAGCCAGAACAGCAAGAGGGATCGCTGCACAGCCTGCATTCGCTGCATAAGACGCACACACATTTCCCCTTACTTTTTAGGAGGGAAAAAGTGAGTCTTATAGAGCAAAAATTATGGTATTTCAGGCAATACGGTACTTACTTATTTTATCTTCTTTAAACAATTTATATGCCGCTTAACTGCAAAGCAGTGTACAGAAAACTATGGATTTCATTGATCCAAACAGGTTCTGAAGACTCCCTTCTCCCTTATTCTTCTAAATGCTATGAATTAATGTGCCAGGCATTCTGTTCTCTCCTGTGTGCAGCTGGAACTGGGACTCTAGTTTACCTCATTTACAGTTTTATACAATAGAACACTCTTTTTCATTTACCCAAAAAAAGGAATCTTCTTAAGAACAGAAGACTCTGCTAAGGTTTAGAATTCTTTCCTACTCTTGGGTGCCTGGTAAGGAAATAGCGTGGATTTCATTGATCTGAACGAGTTCAGAAGATCCTGTTCTGAAGCATTTCAGCGCCTCATCTTCTGTTTGCCAAGGTGATTCAAGAAGCTTTGATATGCAGCTACCGATTCAGCTTTTATGCAGCTCATGGAGACAGCAGGAAGAAGAGGTTTTGTTGGGGGGAGAGGGCAGACAGAAACGGCTTTGCATGAATTGCGTTCCTGACTACAATGATAACCTGGCAGATTAGAGTTGTTTTAGGTAAAGGTAAAGGGACCCCTGACCATTAGGTCCAGTCGTGACCGACTCTGGGGTTGTGGCGCTCATCTCGCTTTATTGGCCGAGGGAGCCGGCGTTTGTCCGCAGACAGCTTCCGGGTCATGTGGCCAGCATGACTAAGCCACTTCTGGCGAACCAGAGCAGCGCACGGAAACGCCGTTTATCTTCCCGCAGGAGTGGTACCTATTTATCTACTTGCACTTTGACATGCTTTCGAACTGCTAGGTTGGCAGGAGCAGGGACTGAACAACGGGAGTTCACCCCGTTGCGGGGATTCGAACTGCCGACCTTTCTGATTGGCAAGTCCTAGGCTCTGTGGTTTAACCCACAGCGCCACCTGTGTCCCTCATTGTTTTACTACTCACTAATTGATTTTAGGCTATTATATGACATAATGTAATCTGCACACACATCAATTACTGGGCCATGCATATAAAATTTCGCAGAACAAAGATGCTTCAGCTCAGGATGTGCTGCTTTTTGCTGCCAAGTGTACTCAAACACAAGGGCCAGTTTTGCTTTTCCTAGCAATCTGAAAAGTTCATAAGGTGAAAAGAAGCAGTCCTTCACACACATGTGAAGTGCAAAATATTCTGGAAAAGGATGCTAGCCACAGCTAGCGCTTTGCTGTCTTCACTCTTCAGCCAGGGTGCTGAAATTTAATATTGGCTGCTTTGCTGTGGGAAAGAAAAGTGTCACACACTTATATTTAAGTTCTTCATACAAATAAACTAAGATAAACTTCATATCTGTAAAACAAGCTCTTCCTTCTTGTCATGCAACCATGATTTAACTATCAGATAAAATGGAACCTCGTTTTTCGAATGTAATCCGGTCCGGAAGACCATTCGACTTCCGAAACTTTCGAAAACTAAAAACTCAATACAGAAGCTTCAATACAACAGGGAAACTCAAAATGGAAGCTGTGTGGCACGTTCGGCTTCTGAAAAGCATTCAAAAACCGAAGCAGTTACTTCAGGTTTTCAGCGTTTGAAAGCTGAAACGTTCAACTTCCGAGGTGCTTGAAAACCGAGGTTCCACTGTACTGCTTAATGCAGATGTTATTTCAAGTGCTAACTAATACTTTTACACCTGCTGATCTGGTGTAAAAGGTCATGACTTCAGACCTGCCAGCGATACATGCATGGTGGGACTGCACACCATGTCACCCTACCCTCCGCTCACATTCATCGTCACATCTACATGTGATGTTTATGAGTACAGTGGTACCTCTAGATGCGAACGGGATCCGCGCGTGTCACATTTCGGCTCTTCTGCGCATGCGCGTGACGTCATTTTGAGCGTCTGCACATGCACAAGTGGCGAAACCCGGAAGTAACGCACTCCGTTACTTCCGGGTTGCCGCGGAGTGCAACTCAAACTCGCTCATCCCAAAGCACATTCAACCCAAGGTATGACTGTATATTGAAACGAGTTATCCCTCAAAATTTGGGTCCAGGTGAGATATAAAGCTCATGTATAGGGTCATGTGAGTGTAGGGACGTTTAGTGTGCCATACTTAAATACGGA